TGCCAACTCCGTCTATATCTTCTTATGAGGAAGATTATGAATCTATGCATGGAGAAGAGTATGAACCAATGTATGAGGAAGAGTATGAACCAATGTATGAGGAAGAGTATGAACCAATGTATGAGGAAAAGCATGAACCAATGCATGAGGAAGAGCATGAACCAATGTATGAGAAAGTGTATGAACCAGAGTTACAATTAGATGAATCTGAAGTTAGTGAATTATCGCAAGTACAAAAGTCAAATAGCAGTAATTCTACACATACCAGGTAATTAAAATGTTATAATTGTTTAATATGTTGTTTAATATATTGTATTAATAGTATGTTTCATAGATCTTTTATATGGAAATATTTCAAAAAAAAAGAAGAAAACCACACAATTTGTGAGATTTGTAATCAGAAGTTAGCATACCAGCATGGAATGACATCAAATCTTAAAAGGCATCTTAATTCTACAAGACCAAAGTACCTGAATTAAAGAAATTGAATGTAAAAGAAGGCATCTCAGTTGTGGATATGTTAAATAATAAGTCAGGCGTAAGTTTTTATATAAATATAAATAAATAAATAAAAAATAAATAAAATAAATAAAAAAAACTAATTTAAATAAATATTTATATTTAGATTAATAATTATTCACGTGAACTATTTAATAGAGGCAAATTTATTAATATAGTTAAATATTGGATTATAAAAAAAAATTGACCATTTCAAATTATTGAAGATACTGAATTTAGATCAATATTTACATATCTAAAACCTGATGCAATAGGTAATATTTAAGGTTATAGTTATGCCAGGTGTATTAAAAGTCTATATATAACTTTATATAATATTATTTTAAATAATATTATATAAAGTTATATATAGAGACTTTTAATATATCCAATTATTATTAATTAGAGTTAAAGTATAATTAACTTTATATTACTTTATGAGATTCTAATTTTTTCTTATTTTCTGTATATATTTAGCACCTTTAGCTGATCTAATCAAATGATATATTGTATCTGATTTTGAGAAAGAACGTATGCAATTATGTAAAAAATTACAAAAAATTCCTGGTGATATTGCATTAACAACTGACATATGGACAACTAATACTAATGACAAGTTTTTTATAGCAGTTACTATTCATTATACAAATGATTCATGAAAATTAAAACATATTTTACTTGATTTTATTCATATGAGTGGGTCATATACAGGAATCATAATTTCAGATGCAATGTATGAATATCTTACAACAATGGGTATTATTACAAAACTAGTGGCTATTACGCGTGATAACATATCATCTAATAATAAATTTTTAGAAGAATTTTTAAATTCATTATCACAATCTGGCTTTCAATTCGATAGTACCCAACAATCTATACGATGCTTTGGTCACATTTTAAATCTTGCTATACAAACAATGTTAAATAATATTGGATACGAATTAGAAAAGGTTTATTTACTGTAATACTATTATTATATAAAATTTAATATATTATATATATATTTATATTTATTATATAATTTTTTTTAAAACAAATCATTGTATAATGTTTCAGCTACGTTTATTGATTAGAGGTATTAGAGGATCACCTAACCGTAGTGAAAAATTAAAGATCACATATCAAATACATAAAAGTTAAATCTATATAAATAACTTTAAATAACATTAAATATACTGTATAGTGTAGTTAAAAGCATATATTATATAAATTTGCAAGTAAATTTGCTTAATTTTAAATTTTAGCAGTTTTTTGTTTTATTTTAACCTGGTTTAGATCTGTTAGATTCAGATCTGAATCTATTAAATTCAGATCCGGATCTAGCTTTGGATCTGAATTGAATTTTCAATTCAGATCCGGATTTATAAAAAATATCTACCCAATCTGGTCTATGCGAAATACTACCTGTAGTATAAATTAGCAATCTTCTATTTTTTTATTTATTTTTTTTTATTTTATTTTTTTTATTTTATTTTATTTTATTTTATTTTTTTTATTTTATTTTATTTTATTTTTTTATTTTTATTTTTTTGTAAAAATTGTTTTATTTTAATTTTTCAGTATACTTAATGAAATTCAATTGGTCAAAATTACAGGAGTAGGCAAATTATGCTTATTTTTCAGCAGCTAAAAATAATTTTGATATTTCAGCATATCATAATGCTATTTAGTGCACTAGGAATCAAAAAAGAAACATACTCTACACATACTTTACTTAAAAAACAAATATACTTGCCATCTATTAGACTAAATGAAACAATTAACAGTTTAAAATAAGATACTCGGAATTTATCTTAGTAATAAACACTATTTAGATAATTTTTTTGTGTTTATTTATTGATTTATAAATTTTTTTTTGTAAGGTAGAAAATTTAAAAATTTCTTTAATTTAATTGGTCAATTCTTACCACATCATCGAGGTGTCATTTCAGGACACAATTTAAAGAGAGCTAAGAATTAATTTGGACGAAGACTTTTG